GGTACCACCTGAGTCACTCCTTGGAGAATGGGTAATATTTGGAAAAGGGGAGAAATAATGTATTCCAGGTAGAGGGAACAAGACGAACACAGGCTTGAAAGGAGGAATGGACAAATTTGAGTCAATAGAGATGTCTGCTGGGGTCAGAGCATTAGAAGGGTGGTTAGAGTTCAGTGCTGACAGTGAGGGGTATTTAGCTGTACCAGGAGCCTGAAGTCCAAGGCACAGGGCATGTCTGCTTGGGGTTGGCTCAGCCTCATAGCCAGGAATCCAGCATCCCAGCTCCTCCTTGGTCTTGCCACATAGGAAGTGGGCTCAAGCTCTTCTGCCTGCCTCTCCAAATCTGCCAGCTCTTTCTTTGTGTAAGTCCTAGGCAAAGCTGGCACCTACTACAGGATATCTCCTAACAGCCCCCATCCCAGCCTCTACACTTCACCAGCCCACAGCAGCTGTCTATTCTGTCCACCCCACTGGTCACGAGCTCCTGGAAGAATGGGTGGGTGGTCCAGGCAGGTTTCCCAGACCCAGCCTTGGAGGAATAGCTAGCTGCATAGCACACATCACCTTCACACGTACAAACAGACACAAGAAGATGATGACATTCAGGCTACAGCCTGACCCCCTTACTTTATAAATGAGGCTTCAGACTCAAGGCAAGGAAAGGATTGTCCAAAGCTATAAGCGTGTTGGGAGCAGAGTATGAATGAATAGATCAGTTCATAGCAGCACTATTCACATTAGCCAAAAGGTGGAAACAACAAAAATGTTCAACTGATGAATAAGTAAATAAAATGAAATCTGTCTTACCATGGAATATTATTTAGCCATAAAAAGGAATGAAGTGCCAATATATGCTAGAGACTGGGCTGAACCTGTGCTAAGTGAAAGAAGCCAGACACAAAAGGCTACATACTCTATGATTCCATTTATATGAAATATCCAGAAGAGGAAAATCCATAGAAACAGAAAGCAGATGAGTGGTTGCCAGGGGCTGGGAGAGGGGGAGAGAGAGAATGGGGAATGACTCTTTAATGGATACAGGGTTTCCTTCGGGTTGATAAAAATATCCTGGAACTATATAATGGTGGTGGTTGCACAAAATTATGAATGTATTAAATGCCACTGAATTATGCACTTCAAAATGACTAAAATGGTAAATTTTTATGCTGTGTGAATTTTACCAAAATATAAAAGGTAGTTTGGGACCAGATGAGATACTGCCACCTGGGTCTAATGTCCAGTTCTCAGGCACATACAGCTGCCCCACTTCCTGTTACAGACCTCCCAGGCTAGGTGTGGGGCAGCCTGTGCCTCCTTTCTAAGGCAGGGAAGCCACATGGTCAGATGGGAGAAGGCTGCCCCACCCAGGGGGCAGGATTTCTGGCTTCTAGGATGCTTCTGCTAAGGGCCAACCTATCCCACTGACCAGCCTACTTCCAATCAGTGCCAAATGTTTCATATATCTTGGGCCTCCCTACTTTGCTCTTGTATTTGCTTTATACAAGAAGTTCTTTCCCTCATGACCCCTCATCCACCTAGAGACGTCTTTTAAGAATCAACTCCTGTCTTCCTTTTGGAAAGGGCTTCCACCTCCGCTTCCCCCTCACCATGACCTGAGCTGAGCCTTCTCCAAAGTGTCACATGCAAAGCTGGCATCAGGGTGCAATCATGTTTGCATGTCTATCTCCTCCAGAAGACTGGGATCCAGGAAGGAGGGGCCTGGATTGTTCATCATTGTTATTTCTGGGGCAGCTCTGGGCCTTACTTACAGGAGGTGCTCAGCAGAAGCTTGTCGAATGAAGCAGTGGCTTTGGGAAGGTTCTTTTCCTCTCGAATGGACATTCTCCATCAGTGGACTAGGCGCAGGCGAGGTGATTTCCAAGGCCTTTATCTCTAGGATTCTCTGGCTCTGAGAGCAGCAGCATAGGGCCAGCCCAGCAAGCTGCTGCCTGTTGTTACCGGCCAGTGTTCTGCTCCTGTTGCTTAGCTGATAGAAGTGGGGAAGCAGAGAGAGGGAGCCTGCAGCAATCCACTGCAGGTAGCTATTTCTGCTCTTGGTGGGGAGGGAGAAGGACAATGCCCAGAGACTGGGCTTCTCCATCCAGCCTGAATGGGTATCTGTTTTCTTTGGAAATCTAATTAAACCCTCCCCTGGACAGCCTAAACATGCAGGTTTTGGCTGGGATTGCCTGGAGTCCTTCGACTACAGGGCAGAGCAGCAGGCTCTTGCTCCATTTTCTTCTGCAGTCAAGAGGTGCTACTCTTTCTGCTTTTCTGATTATGAAATTAGTCATTTTCTAGGAAGCTTATTTATAGAGTCCGCTGCACACATGCAGTACTGAGCTATTCTGAACACAGCTTGGAGCCTGGGAGACTTAAGGTGTGAAAGCAGATGTGAGTCAGACATGGGTCCCCTTCCAGAGATGGCCAGATACCTTGCCTTTCTGCACCCGGCCAGGGGTCAGCTCTTGTGGGCTGCCCTCCAGCCAGGCTGCTCTTTAGGGTTGAGAAAGGAAATGTTCAGGATTGGGAGATTGGGAATAGGTGTTCTCAAACCTGATCCCTGTGGCTACCAACTCAATACACAACCTGGGGCGAGTCAGACCCCCATTCTCTGTCTCAGTTTCATCCTCTGTAAAATGAGAGGCCTTCTAGAGTTGTGATTCTCTAAATGCTCTGGACAGCAGCTGTGGAGGAGGCTTTCAAGTGGCTTAACAAACATCTGCCCACCAAGTAGCTCAGATCATGGCTATGTTTGAGGTTCCTGATGTTTCTTCAAGAACGTCAGGGTGGCATTCGCTTATTCCACACGTATTTGTTTATTGAACACCCTCTTATGAGCTAGGCACTGTGCTAGGCTTTAAAGATACAGTAGTAAATAAAACACATATAGTGCTCCCTGCCCTCATGTAGCCTACACTCTCATAGTTGAGGTAGATGTTAAGGAATTAAAATGATATTTGCAATTGTGTCAAATATGTATGATAAGCAAAAAGTACTGGAAAGTAGAGCTGAAGGGGCTCTCTAGGGAGAAGGAAAAGCCGTGCTAAGGCACTGTAAAGAAAAGAGCCTGTCCACTGTGGCTGGAGTGCAGAAGTCAAGGAGAAAAGGAACATAAGATAAAGTTAGAGGGGCCAGACCACACAAGATCTAGTGAGCTGTGTCAAAGGATCTGTATCTTTATTCTTAGTACAATAGATGCCATGAAAGTTTTTTCAAGAAAGATTATGTGATAAATTTTGAGTTTAAGGAATTGATTCTAGCTCAAGCCTGTCCTAGCCCCATTGTACGGGTTGTAAACCACACAAGTTATATAAGCCATGGCATTGGAGACGTGTGGTGGATGCTTGGGAGGCCAGCCTGAGTGGTTGCCACAGATCAGTTAAAATATTGTTGCAGTAATCTAGGCAAGAGATGGTGGTGGCTTGGACCAAGACAGAGACAGTGGGGAGGGAGAAAAGTGGAGTGACTCTAGAGAAAAAGTTAGGCATTTACCTTGAAGATAGTGACCCCCTCTCTGCAGGAGAGCTGGGCTCTGGGACTTGGGATTCTTAGAGACCTTACCAATTAAAGTGAGGAAAAAATAAAATAATACAATCTAGTTAAGAACAGAAGATAATCAAGGTGAGAAAGGGTACCCTTAATCTGGCCTGTCTGTCCTTAATTATTTAAAATCTGCAGTTGGGCCTGAAATAGACCCCAGTACCAGTTTGATGAGAGGCAGGATTGCAGAACTGGTGGGCAGAGAGGCAACTGGACCCCTGGGCTTCTTGAAAATATTATGCTAGCAAGGCTGTATCAAGCCTGCTGCCACTCTCAGAGCTCAGATCCCACTGGCTTAAGCTAAAATATGGAAATTTATTGGAAGGCTGCTGGGGCATTTCAGGGTCTTGATGGACATGTTGCCCAGTCAAGACTCACTACAGCAGGTGGCAGTGAAGCAGCTCTGAGCCCCCCAGGAGCAGATGTTTGTGGATCTTCTCTGCAGAGCACTGCAGCCACCATGATTCAGCACCAACATCCACAGGCTCCAGGCTCTCCAGAATGCATTTTCAATGTGCAGGACAGAGGATCTGATCAACATAGTCAGCCTGGTCTGTGTGTCCACCCTGACCCTCTGCCAAGGGTCAGAGACATGAAGTGCAGACAGGACCATTGGAGCCCCCACCTGCATTTCACACCATTCCCAGAGTAGGGGAACCCCTGTTGCCTTCAATACAATATCCCGCTCTAAAAACATTTCCTCTAGTTGATCTCTTAAGACCTTTTTCTAGCTTGTCAGGCAAAGAAGAAAAGCTAGGACCCCACACACACACCAGTACAGCCCTATATGGTGCCCTCTAGGCTAGAAAGAGTAGTTTTCTGATTTCAAGAAGGGATCGCTTCGAATATGCAAAACACATTTTGCATGTCACTTTTCATTGCCTGAAACTCAGTGCCCTCACATGTCTTGGGGAACTGGATTCTTGGGCTACCCAGAATCCTCTCTTGTTCACCCATGGTTCAAAACCACAGGTACTAGGACACAGAATGGCACAGCAGTGAGACTATAACCCTGGAGTTCTAGATGATAATTTCAAACCCAGCTCTATAGCTCTACCCTAATGAGCTGTGTGACCTTGAGCAGGTTATTTAACCTCTCTGACCCTGTTTAAGAATCCTTAATTCATGGGATCATGGTGAGGACTCAGTGGGGTAAAGGTTGTAAAATGCTTTGTACATAATAAACCATTCTCCTCGGGGAGATGATGACGACAATGGTTGTGATGCTGCTGCTGCTGCTGCTGCTGATTCCACATGAAAGACATCTGCAGAATTCTAGTTCCGCCTGTGCAGCCTGACCCCTCCATAAGAAAGCATTTTTCTCTAATTCCCCTGATGAAGTAGGGTTAGTCAAAGGGACACAGAGTATAGGAGAGGGAGGCTTTTTTATCTTTGCCTAGGATTTTATCTCAGTCTCAGCTGAACAGCTTTATCTAACTGATTTCCTCCTGCTGCAGGAGTGAGAGAAAGAGCCATACCACTGATGTCTCCGAGGGAGGGACCCTGGACATGTGCTGCAGTGAGAAGCTGCCGGGTGAGTCCTCCCAGTGCCTACGTGCCCCAGAACTCTGAGCAGAGAGACAGTGCCCCAGCTGGGGCTAGAGTAAAGCCTGGCCAGCTGTGAACTTACTCAAGGAATGATGCAGGGGTTCCATAGATCTTCATTTAAATGGGGATTTTTTTTTTCTAATCCCCTATGACTTTCTGACCTGTTGTTGTTTAGAGCTCTAGGCTCACATGGGGGAAAAGAGCTGAGCCTGTGCTAGGAAGCAGAAAGAAAGGTGAAGAACTGGGGAGTCCAAGGCTGATAGGGACATGGCCACTGACTGGTGATGTGTTGGGCAGACTTCAAGAGGTGAAAGTAGGAAGCACAAACAGCTGGAATGCTGCATGAGCCAAGGGTGGCGGGGAGGATGTGGAGCCCTGCTGAGAAGTGGAACTGTGATGCCTGAGTGTGTGAACTATGAGTGTGGAAGTGGGATGCCTGAGTCCACCTGAGCACCCTGTGGGGAGCCTCACTCTCTGACCCACAGGCCACTGCGGTCTCTATGGAGACATCATTAAGGCATTCCTGCCCACAGGTGGCAACATGTGCCCATTATACACCCAATACCCAGGTTGTGATAAATACCGTTGGAAAGAATAGAAGGAAGCAGGTGGGATTTTTAATTTTTTTCTTTTCATTAAAATTTTTATCATTGTTTTTCTTCTTATAACAAATGTCCATTGTAGAAATATTAGAAAATAAATACAAGTGGTAAAACAGTGCTATGAACAGCATATACTTTCATATCTCTCCTTTCATTTTGTTTAAAAATAACCCTTTGAACTCTTAATGTCCAACCCCGTACCATGTCAGAAACCCAACGATTGACGAGAAACCTTAGAACAGAGTCTTCAAAATAAGCAGCTGTTTTATTCACACTCTGTGCAGGTCCCTCAGCTCCTCACAAAGGTGCCTCAGGCATCCTGAGGATTGAGCCCTTTGCTGCAGTTCACCCTCTAACCAGTAGGGGGTAACATTGCTCAAAACACTTTGGATGGCCTGTTGAGATGGTCTAGGATGGACGCCATCTTACTGAAAGTGTTATCATGGGGACCAGAAATGTCTAGCTTGAAAAAAATTCTCTGAAGGAATCTGAGAGCTACCTGGACATCTGAAAGGCTGTCTTGTGGAGGGGGGGAGAAGATCCATTCTGTGTATTTTAGGATGATATAAGTCCAATATATAGAAATTAATGACAGGTCTGTTGGCCCACAGTGCACAGAATACTTTCTGACTCAAAAGTGGCCAATCATAGACCTTGATATTTCCCAAGGAAGAAAATGAGTGTTCCATCACTGATGGCATTCAGGTAGACACTAGAGAGGAAATTTCCACAATGGGTGGGAGGTCCAAATGACATCAAAAGTCCCTTTCAACTATTAAACTGCTCTGTGATTCAGAAATGAGTCATAGAATTCAGTGATGGTTCTACAATCAGGGATGGCCCCACTGGCTAGAAAAAAATCCAAGGAAAATAGGAGATGATGAATGGGAGCCCTGAGAATAGCATGGTGTGGGGAGAAGAAAGAGCATGGGATTTGGCATTTGAGTCTGGCTTTCTGCTTCAGGCCATGTGTTTATGGAGAAGTCACTTAACTTTGCTGAACCTCTTGTAAGTGAAAACAACAGCAATATAAATATCCTTGTGAAGGTCCTTGAGGAGTAAATAAATGTAGCCAATCAGTCATTCATCTAACACATATTTATCAAGCACCTACTAGGTCCTGTGTACTGTACTAGGTACTAGAGATGTGGTGGTTACCAAAAGAAACCAAGCAAACTTAGTCCCGGCCCTAATGAAATTGCATGGACAAGTTTTGCTTTGAGCTGATTCTGGAAAATGGGGCGAAGCCACAATAGAGAGGCTACAGTAATAAGCATAATATGTTTAATTCCAATCCTCTGCCCCATTCTTCCCCAAAGCCAGCAACCAGTGTGGAATGGAAAAAGAGTATTGGTCATCTCCATTGGAGCTGGCACGTTGCCTTCCTCAGGCAATACCCCAGGAAGTTGGTGTCATAAGCTACCCCTACCTTACGAATGAAGGACCAACGTCCAGGGAGATTAGACAGTCTGGCAGTCTGTGCAGTTCACTTAGCTGGTAGACGGGGGATTCACTCCAGGGAGTCTCTCAACCAAGCCCATGTCCTCACCACTACCCTGTTCTGCCTCCATCGCCCCCTTGGAGCCACCATGATCTTCCAACACCCTTGGAAAGAGGCAGAAAGAGTTAAGGTATATTTGTACCAGGGAGGAGTTTAGAGGAGGTGGGCAATGTCACTGTGCATGTCCCCATCCACATCCTTCCTACCTCTGTTTCATCTCTGCATCCTCTATGTTGTCTAGCATTTATTCCCTTATTTCTTCATTCTCTTACTGCTGATTAACCACCTGCATGTGGTGGGTACTGTTGTAAGCCCTAAAGATTCAATAGTGATCCAAACTGAGAAGCTTTCCCACCCTCACAGGACAGTACTATGTATGACATGCTGGCCAGCAGCAGGGACTCTGGCCCCAGTTTAGCCCGGGATGATCACTGGCAAACTAACCTCTCCGGGGCTCCCATTTACAATATGGCAAGCAGAATACTCACTACCCTGTAGAGTTGTTGGAGGCTCCCATGAATTCTTAGCTCAAAACAGTGTCAAGCCCATAGCAAGTGCTGTGTAGACATTTGCTATTGATGATAAACAAAAAATAAAATGTATAGGGTGGCAAATAGTAGTTAAATGCCATGGGAAAATTAAAGCCAATAAGAGGGGGATGGGCTAGGACTGGGGTGGTTTGGTATTGTAAATAGGCTGGACCTGAAGCCTGCCATAGAGCAGACATCCACAGATGTTTGTCAGCCGAAGCCACTGACCTATACCGAAACTTGGACATATATAAGATGGTGGGGCCAAGAGAGTTAGAATGCTGGGCCTTTAGAAAAGCCTGTAAGCACTGAAAGCAGTTGCATAATAGTGGTATAAAAATATAGCCCTTGAGTACTCGCTCCCCTGCCCTGCTGTCCTCCCCTCTGGGCAAGATGGGTGGCGAGGCAGAGTGAGGGCCAGCGTGACTCATTTGTTCTCACACACACCTCCGGACGGGGGCCGTGTGGCCAACACTCCCAGCCATGGTCACCCAGGCCTGAGCCTGCACCAGGCAGGTCATACAGTCCTCTCAGATGAGCTTTCTGGGACAGAAACATCCTCAGGCATCACCAACTCCCCCTGGAAGCCCCCCCATTGCTCCAGGGCCAGGCACGTGGCTCATACCCCGAGGGTGTCCCCATGTGTGCTCACATGCTCCTGTTTGTTCTCGCTTGCCACAGCCTCATGCCCCCATACACACTTGCATGTACCCACGCACAATCCCCAGGCACGTGGCCTGCCTCTGTGTCACGCAGCCCTGCAGGGGCGGACACACACCTCCAGGTTCACACACCTGCTCCTCGTCGTCTTCCTCTTGCACACTCAGCTCTCCCAACTCCATCCGCACTTCCGCTGTCCATGCTGCCCAGTGACAGACAGACATACCTGTTCTCTCCCGTCCTCTGGGGGTGTCCTCTCTCTCCCACACTGCACCCCTCCTCATGTACACACACAAAGATGGGCAGACAGGCTCCTTCCCTCCCCTACATTCTCCGTCCTCATCCCAGGCCCTTAGTCACTCACAGTTCCCAGGGACTGTGGGGCACTGGGTATCCCCAGCTGCTTTGCCCAACTCATGCATAACACACACACACATATTTTTCTTCTCTCTCAAGCATATACTCTTTTCCATATGGTCAACCTCATTTTCTTCCCTTTCCCTCCCTTTTTTGCTCTCTTCACTTGCTCTCGGTCACCCAAACACATGGATGCATTCAAACTCACACTCTCCCTTCTTCTGTGTGTAGGTGTTCACATTTGCAGGAAACCAAGCAACACTAATGCTGCTGGGGCCTCCACTCTTTCCTCCCACCAGCAGCACCACAGGCCCAGTCTGGGACCAGCAGCTTCCTTGGGGGGATGGGGTGGAGGAAGAAAGTAGATAAAGAAAACGTAGTTGCCCGTGGGGCCAGTATGTAGTGGGGAGCGTTATCACCAAGCGTTGCTGTCAGCATCTCCTTCAAGCTGACTCATGGGCAGGCTTGTACCTAACATTTTTAGGGGCCAAGGCCAAACTACAAATGAGGACACTAGTAGGACACCACCCTTTGCTCAGTCGGCACTGCAAAGGCCTTGGCATATTTGCATGTGGGTCCAAGTCTGGGCCTGGGATGAGTCTGTGTGTCCAAGTCTGGTTCGCACACCACCCTAGTAGCTGCCTGATGGCTGCCCCTCAAACCTAAAGATACCTAAGTCAGAGGCAGTGTCCACCTTTGGAAGGGTATACCTGGGAAAGAGACCCATGCAGGCTTTGGGCTATTCGGGCAGGAGATTCTGGAGTCCTGGTAGCCAGAGCATGGCCTGGGAAGAGGGGCAAGGACAACAGGTGGTCACAGAGTCCAGAAGTACACATCTTCTGAGCCCTGTGTACTTCTCATCTCATGGAGAGTGGCATGGCTAGAGGCGAGGAAGTACAGGGCCGAGGCCTAAGGACAACACTGCTCTTGGGAACAAGGTAGTCCTAAAGCCCTTCTGCAGGTAGCTGACAGAGCCATGACAGTCCCTGCCAACCTGGGATTTAGGGGAGTCATGATTATCTGGACTTATGCAAGGTTGTGAGGATATACTCAAGGCATGAGTAGGCCATTGCTCTTCTGGTAGTAACAGTTGGCTTCTTGGATTGCTGGCTCTAATACCTTAAGTACTTGTATCCTGAAGCCTATACCCAGCCCAGCCCTGGGTGCTGTGCTCTGTATCATTTTGAATATTAAGAGAACCTACCTCTGAGGCCAGGGATGAGGTCTAGGTCTCAGCAAATGGCCACTGTCCATCCTGAGCACCACTTTATAAAGCAGAGAGGGTGGAGGAAAGCTTTGGCATCCTAATCCTGCAGCGGCCACCTTTGACCTGCAG